GCCCGGCGGGCCGCCCGGGCGCTGGCCGGGGGCCGCCGCGCGGAGGCCGAGTTGCTCGACCACCTGGGTGGGTTCGGTTGGCGGTTGGCGGCGGTTGGTGCGCGGGGCGGTTGTTGCGACAAGGCAGCGCGAGGTCGTCGATGGCTTGAGGAAATTTTGTGTGATGTTGCTGCACCCTATCAAGCAATGCGAGTGTCGACACAACAAGGGTTTGAGAAAACGAATTAAGAGCTTTCACGAGCCGAGAGGGAGGCCGGCCACAAGGGAAGGGGGTAAGGGAAAAGGAAACACCCCAAAAAAAGTAATGGCTGCAGCAACACGAGAGGATGAGACTCCCCCAGGAAGGCCGCGCACGCGCACCCACCCACCACATTGCAGGGGAGCGCCCCTCACTTAGAGCACCCCCCTGAAGAAAGATTCTTTCACTGTGTCAAAGAAACCAAGCCGGCACAGCCGCCACGTTGACCTGGTCAACCCTCGCTCCCTGAAACACAGATCCAACACACACACACACACACACACACACACACACACACACACACACAATGCACACACACACAATGCACACACACACAATGCACAAATACACACACACCATCCCACCCCCCCCCACCTGCAGGGGCGTGTACTCCTTGGACCCCCGGAACACAAAGCACTTGGAGCACTCCGCAAACCCGAGCTCGTGCACGTGCACGTGGGTGCCGTACGTGATGAGCCCCACATGGCAGTAGTCCGGGATCATCTGAAGCGCCTGCGTCACGCTCGCCTTGGCGGCCGCCAGCTCGTCCTCGGCCTGCGGTACAAGGGTTTTGTTGTTCAAAACCGTCGCACGGCGGTTCCCTCTGGACGCCGCCTCACACCATCTCATCCATCCAAAATATCAATTGGACTCAGATATCAGGCTGGCTGGCGGCAGAATAGGCGCCATCAGTGTGGTCACATACTCCCAAGTTTGCGGTTCACGGCCAACTTTGCGTCGCCGCGCGTCACCCGGTGTCACCCACCACGCATGTGTCCACGACAAAGAGGTAGACCGGGGGGTGGGGGGCCGCGGTGCGGGGCAGCGTGTACTCGATGGTGGTGTACTGCGGGTACAGCTCGGCGGGGACGGATGCCTCGCTGATGCCCTGCGGGCGGCGCGGCGCGGCGTCACCGGG